AAGTCGCCGCAGGGCCGTTGATGTCACCTGCGCGCCGGCGCGTGCAGCTGTTCTGTGGGAGGTCCACTTTGCGTTTGCCCCCGGGCCTTCCAACCGCGGCGCCGCCTCGAAAAAGGCCCGCCCGCGGCCCCTCGTTTTTGGCCGGCAACGGGCGGTGCTGCAGAGTCTAGTTGCGCTGCGGGGTCGCCTGCAGTCCGGGTCCCCACGCGGCGATATTCCGCAGCGGGTGCGTGGGCCGCATCAGCGGTGCTGTGGGGCGCTCAGCTTCCCCGGAATATACCACACACACATGAATGCGTGTATTTCAGCACTGGCGTCGCCACGAGGTGGTTGCATTTTGCGCCAAGCCACGGGAAGAATGAGAGGGCGGTCCGGCGACTTCGCCCAGCACCGCGGCGTTGCGCAAGGCGAGGCGATGCTCTTCTTTGTTTGTTTTTTTTTTACGGTCGCGTTCCCGCCTTCAGGTGGTGGTTGGGTGCGTTTTGGGCAGGCGCGCCCAACCCCCCGCGGGCGAAGAAAAAGCAACTAAAAAATGATTGGACTGGCACACATGCGAGGCTGCGGGGAGGGGGCAGAGGGGAGGTGTAGGAGAGGCATGTATAAGCGAAGGGAAAGAAGAGGAGGAAGAGGGCACCACCCCCGCCCACCGCAAAGAATAAATAATAAAAAAAGAAAGAAAAACGAAGAGAAAAACAAACGGGTGAAGCACAACAAGCTGGAGGGTGAAGCTAGTGATGTCTCCAAAAAGTTATTTTTGGTGTCTGTGTCGTTTTCCCAAGAGCTGCTGTACGAGACACACGTTATCCGCGTCTCTTTAGTTAGCATTGCGATTGGGGAAGGAATGAGAAGAGAAGGGGTGGGGGAGTGTGTTTGCCGCTGTATACCGTTCCATACATATATATATGTATGTGTGTGTGTGTGTCTGTGTGTGCGCGTCCCTCGGTGTTTTGCCCCTGTGCTCCACTGTGGTGTGTGGAGCGACCGCGCCTGCAGTTTGTTGTCTCTTGTCCTCTTTGCACTGCTGCCGCCCCCCTCCTCCTCCATCCCTTTGCGCGCGTGGATGCGTCGGGCTGTCGTTAGCTTTCGTCCCGGCATCGCGGCGCGCCGTCGAGGAGAGGACGCCTTAGTCGAGTGCCATCATTTGTGCGGCTTCAGCGAGGCAGAATAGGCGGGGTGCAGGTGTGCGTGCCTGTGTGTCGTTGGGAGTGAGGGGTGCCTGGGGCGGTTTCCTCGGTGCGCAGCAAAGGGGCTCAGAGGGGCGACGCATATAGGGGGCCTAGGATGCGGTGCTGGCAGCCTGCTACAGGCCGCACCCTGCGCTGCGTCTCGGTCGCAGCGCTGCGGTGCTCGCAGCGGGCGTACTGTCGGCTGTGGGTGCCCGGCCGCGGCGCGCGAGCAGGGACGATGGTGACGCTCACGGCGGTGTGGCGTCGGCGTGACGGCGCCGCAATGTGTGCGTGGGTGCGCTCGGCGAGCAGCACCGGTGGCGGTGGGGGCAGTCGCGGCAAGGACATTGACGTGGTTGACGAGGCGAAGCCCATTCACATCCGCGTTGCGGAGGAGAAGGACTCGCAGATCTTCACCATGCAGGATTACATTGAGCGTGAGGAGGCGGAGCTGAACGCGTCCCGGTCCGTCAGCCAGCGACTCTCAGACGTGCGCGACAACCCCGTCTGGATGCTGTGGGCGCTGTTGTTTCTTTCGCTTGGGGTGCTGACGGTTGTCGTCTCCATTCGTGTGCGGCGGGAGCAGATGCGCTTTGACCCGAGGCTGCGGGCAGTGAAGGCCTTTGACAGTCCGGAGGGGCCGAGCATTGGCGGCCCCTTCTCACTGGTCGGCGTGGACGGCCGCCGGTACACCGACAAGGACTTCCTCGGCAAGTGGCTGTACATCTACTTTGGCTTCACCAACTGCCCGGACGTCTGCCCGGAGGAGATGGCGAAGATGAGCCGCGTGGTGCAGCACCTGGACAAGAAGGTTGGCCGCGACTACTGGCAGCCGGTCTTCGTCTCCCTCGACCCGCGCCGGGACACGCCGGAGAAGATACGCGAGTACCTGGCCGACTTCAGCCCGCGCATCCTCGGCCTTGTCGGGACGCAGGAGGAGGTGGAGGCGGCGGCGCGGGAGTACCGGGTGTACTTCGCCATCCCCGACGAGGAGGCGATGAGCGAGGACGACTACCTGGTGGATCACTCCATCATCATGTACCTCATGGACCCCGAGGGCAAATTCTGCGACTACACCACGAAGGAGTTCCAGTGGTTTGAGAGCTACAGCAAACTGCTGCGCCGCATGATGGACTACGAGCGGGAGAAGGCGCAAAAGCAGCGGGCGAGAGGCGGGGAGCTGCAGCCGGGTGAGCGGGCGGCAAACGTGAAGGTGGCAAACATTGCGACGGTGTTAGATGAGAGCGTGGCTGCGGTGCCCAGCCGCGAGGCGCTGGAGAGCGAGAGGCCGCAGCAGGCGATGACGGTCCGGCGTTGACGGCGGGGGCCTGCTCGCCTGGAGCGGGAGGGCGATGGCGCGGCTGAAAAACGGGGAGGGCGGCCGGGCTGGGCGGATGCGAGGGAGGCGCGAGAGGGGAGGGAGGGGGTCCGGCCAGCAGCGGTGACTGGGGCACCGGGAGGTGGTGGGGGGCGCCTGGAGGACCCCGACCGCCGGTGCCGCCGGCGCCGTCGCCAGCAGCCACGGGGACGGCAGGAGGGAATAGGCAAAGGCGCAGCGGGCTCCCTCGGGGCCGCGCGCCGGGGAGAGGGAGGGCCAAGAGGGAAGCAGGGACGAAGAGGAAAAACAAAACAAAGCAAAACAAAAAGGCTCATGGCCCCAACGCCTGCGCCATCACAGACGGTCCCCTGACGTTGTTTTTGTCGTGTAGGCCGCTTGCTGGTGTCTCTGTCCCTCTCTGTGTGCGTGCGTATCTGTCCATGTGGTTTGCCCATGCCTTCCTCCTCTTTCTCCCATGTGTTTCTTCGCCCGCCGAACGGCCCTTTTTTTTTTGCCTCGTTCGGCTTTCAACACGGCTGTGTTGCCTTCGCCGTCGCCCGACACAAGACGCCCGCTCCGACAAGAGGTGCCGTCCCCACACACAAGCTCTCCACAGCACGGCAGGAGGGGAAGGGGAGGACGCAGCATCTCCGCTTGTGACGGACTCAACGATAGTCGCGGAAGTCAACCGGCGGGGCAGCACATAAATGGCGGCCGTCGGTGGGAGCCACCCGGAATATGTTTGGCACCGGATGCCCGGGGAGGTGCGTGAGCGTGTCCGCGAGACCCGCGAGAGCGGCGTCGCGGCGAGGCGCCTTCGTGCGGAGGGCGCGCCGCCGAACGGCCCGCGTGCGGCGCGGCCGGGGCCGACGGGGACGGAGGTTGTGGCGCTGAAGGACGCGCGGGAGGACGGCGAGGTGGTGATGGTGCAGAGGTCTTCCTCCGTGACCTCCGCAATGGGCCGGAGGACGAGCCACGCGCTCCACTTCCGCGGCCACAAGTGGTCGTCGGTGCTGAAGAAGCACCGCGCCGCGCTGGAGGCGGCCGTCGTCGCGGACATCGTCGAGGCGACCGGGCTGGACGCGCGGCGGATCGAGAACATCACCCTCGCCTTCACGGACGTGCTCGTTGTGACCTTCACCGTGCGCCCCCAGGACCACCCCGACGCCATCGCGGACGTCCACGTTGCCCTCCAGACGTGCAACTTCCCCCGCACCACTGCGCTCTACCGCAACTACCGCTCCTTGCAGAAGTGACGCGCACAGGGGGTGCGGCGCGTCGGTCCAACGGAGTCGCCCGCCCCGCCCCGAAGTAACCGGCACCAAAGAGCGCGCATGGCGGGAGGCCGTGGGGCCCTCCCCGCCCTTCAAACGCGCACGCGTGTGCGGGTGCGTGTGTGTCTTGGGGGGGGGGGGGGAGTGGCGCATGCAAGGCGCCTCCGTTTGGGCAGCGACGACGACAACAGGAGAAGCAAGAAAACATCAGCAACCAAAATGAATGCGCCCAGCAGTAGACGCGGACGCTGCAGTGAGTTGCACAGGCCGCAGCTTTCCAGATGTAACCTTTATGCTTGTTATTGTTATTAGTATTAGTATAGCGATATACACGCGTTTGCTCCGTTAGTGTGTTACCGCCTTTGCTTTTCAGCGTTGCTAATTTCTTTTTGTTGTGACTGTGCGTGCTTTTTATAGTATCTTCGCCCTATTCTGTTGAGGAACCCGCGGGAGTTGCTTGTCCCACTCTTGCAGAGTGCTGCTAAACGAATACGTCGCAGCCGGTGTCTCTCTTCCTAAGCGGGGGCGACTTCTGCGTGTGCACTGCGCGTGGATGTGGGTATATGCTGCTTGCTGGGCTGCACGCACGTACATATATATATGTCTATTTTTTGTGTGTGCTTTGTGCGCTGTCGGCCGCCGAGTTTGTGTGCTTGTGCGTGTTGTCCCTGATGGTGGGCGCAGCTGGCCGTGCGGAGGTGAACGCGGCACCTCGGCGACTGCCCCGGCACCCCGTTTCGCTTTTTCCCGTCGTTGGTTCTTTTCTTTCTCCCTGCTTTTTGCCTCACTGCGGCGCAGCTCCGACTTGTTGCTTCATGTGGCGGCTGAGCCGAGGCGCCAGCGGCCCTCTCCGGCCCCGCCTCTCTCCGCGCTGACTGCGTCATGTGCACCTCGAATGCGCTCTGCCTGGGCGGCGCCCTCCGTTTTCCCTGCTGACTCCGTCGCACCCACGCACACGCACGCACGCACGGTGAGGGAGGGAGGAGGCGGCAGCCGGGCGGGAGCCCAGTGCAGCTGCCGTGATGTGTGCGTGCGCGTGCCGCATGAAGCTCTCCGTTGGCGCGCCGGTGCATGGGCCGGAGTTCGCGCGTCATCGCGGGTGCTCGTCTGGGGGCGTGGAACGATGCCCACCGTGCAGTGCCGCGCCCTCCACGGCAGGGATAGATGCGGGGCGCGGCGCCTGCGCGCCATCATTGTCTGCCTCGGCGCAGCGTCCGAGGGCACCGTGAACTAAACGACGTCAACTACGGAGGAAGGGAAACCGAGTAGCTTTTGTTTCTTGTCATTGTATTGTTTCCCTGCATTTTTTTTTGCCTGGCCGGACTTTTTATAGCCCACTTCAGCCTCGCGGCGTGTGTGTTGCGCACAGCGCAAGGCCAGGACTGCTACTTCTTTGTTGATCGCCTTCAGCGTGTCTCTGCCGTCCCCCTGTTTTTCCGTTTTTTATTTTGTTTGACGTGCGGATGCCTGCACGCTTACCGGTGGGTGTGTCGTCTGGGGGCGCAGCGATGGGGGCCCGGGTTTTCGCCGGGTTTTGTGTTCCTTTTTTTCTTTTCCGTTTCGTGTGCCCCGGCGCACCCGCCCATTTCTGCCGCCGCCGCCTCGCCTGCCAGCCGCACCACAATGTGTCTGTGCCCCCCTGCCTTGTCGCTTCAGCGGCGTGCGGAGGCTGCCGCCGCTCCCGCTGGACCCGCCCCCACTTTTCTTTTTTTGCCGCTTCTCCCGGCCGCCCCGGCCCCTGCGCAGTGAAAGCAAGCCGCTCAGAACAAGCGCCAAGCAAATCGATTTAACACACCGCAAGACACCCCGAGCAGATGACGGTGGGCCGTGCGGAACGCCCTTGCCAACACGTGTGGCACGCGATGCCGGAGGAGGTGCGCGCGAGAGTAAAGGCGACCCTCCTGGGGATGGGGACGAGGCCGGCAACGGACCACGCCGCCGCCGCCGAGTCAGCGCCAGAGCCGAAGAAGCCACTCCGTGACGTTCCGCAGGACGGAGTGGCGCAGCCTCAGCGTAAGCCCCAGACGGAAGGGGAAAGGAGGCCGAAGGGGGAGGAGGAGCAGCGCGAAGGGGAACGTGCTTCGGTGTTGGAGAGGGCCGGGTCCATGGTTTCCAATAACACTTGGAAGAGAAGGCACACCGTCCGCTTCCGCGGCCCCAGGTGGGCAACAGTTTTGAAGAACCACCGCACTGAGCTTGAGCAGGCGTTCAGGCAGGACCTCGTTGAGGCAACTGGGCTGGAGGCGAGGCGGTTTGAGAGTTTGAGCTTCGTGTTCTCCAACGTGCTTATTGTAACTTTCGTGGTGACCCCGGAGGACGACCAGGAGCGGACGGACAAGCTGCACAGTGTGCTGCGGGAACACCGGTTCCCGCGCACCGTTGCCTTGTACAACCAGTAGCCAGGTGTCTTTCTAGGTGTAAGCATGCCGGCAGGGGAATGACCGATCACGTCTCATCCCTGCAGTGGAAACAGAGTTGTAGGGTGTAAAACGTTTCTATTTTTGTGCTTAAAATACCCTTTCTGTTATCGTCTTATTGTGCAGCAGTTTATTTATTTTATTTGTTTATTTTATTTAATGTTTAAAGCAGCTGTTTTTTTTTGTATTGTTGTGGATTTCTCTCACTGCTTGCACTTACGCTGCCGTTCGCGCCTGCCGGCCAATGCGCCCCGCCCCCTTTTTTCACCAAGCACCGCTTCCTGCGCCCGCTGTGCGCGCGGGGGTCTCTCTCTGTGTGTGTGTGTCTGGTCGCCTCCATTTCTGCTTTTTTTTTATTGGGCGGGGGGCACGCCTGCGAAGAGAGCGCGTGGGCGCAGCTGGCGGCGTGGTAATGTATGAACTTGTGGCCGTGTGCCGCGATGGGAGAAAAGCTTCCACGGGGGCGGGGGCCGTGTTTTTCCTCCGAATGACATATCTTTATTATGTGCGTACTACGCATGTTTTGTTGGGGCGGGGCGGGGGAGAAGGGCGGGAGGCATGCGGTGTGCCGCGCGTTTTCTCTCCCCTTGATTCCCCCCCCCCTCCTGCACTGCACTGCACTGCAGGTGGAGTGAAAGAGAGAAGAACGAAAGAGGGGAATTGATGCGAAGTGGAAGAGGCGCGAGCACAGAAGCGGAAAAGGCTCAGTGCCCTAAGATGGCACTGCGGAATGAATAACTTGAGACACGCACACCCGCACGCAGAGAAGTTGCATAAACACTTGTCCTACTGTTTCTGTGTGTGTGTGTGTGTGTGCCGCCGCGTGCATGACCCCCACTGCGCTGCGTCACGGGCAGGTGTGCGTGGGTGGATGTACTCCCTCCCTCCCTCCCTCCCTCTTTGCTAGTTTCTTGCAGCTTCGCGTGGTAACTCATTGCCAGCAACACCAGCAGCAAACAACCAACGCCTAGGCGCAAACAGAGGCCCACGGGAAAAGGGCAAGACGGGGGACGTGGCGGGGTGCCAGACGGGGCTCGCATAGGCACAGGCGCCCGGTAGGCGATGGCTGCGCATCTACTCGGTGCGCCCAACTTGCCCGTGGGGCATGATGGGGGGGAGCCCCTGCAGCAGCACAATCCAAATCCCCGGACGGCTTACGGCCTGCCGGTCCCAGCCCGAGAACGCGCCATCGATGAGCAGGGGTACGAGCTGACGAAGCACTCGCTGCGGTTCCGAGGCGAGGACTGGGACATTGTGCTCAACAGCAAGCGTGAGGAGCTCCGGGCTGCGTTCATCCGCGACGCGGCCGCCGCGACGGGGGAGCCGGAAAGCAACATCGTCGACGTCCGCCACTACGTGGACGAGGCTCACCGACTCATCGTGCGGTTCAACGTGCGTCACCGGGCGCAAACCTCGAGCTCCGCCGTGCAGGATCGCCTAGCGACGTACCCGTACGAGGCTGTGCGGGCCTTGTACGAGCCTCGTGTGAAGAAGCCGCGGAAGGGCCGGACTCGCATGAACTCTTCCCTTGCAGCCTCCATTGCTCGCCAGCGGTGGCCGCAGCCGGCGCTCAGCTGCTATGGACACGCCGTTGGCGACGTCGGGCCCAACGGGTTGGAGTTTCGCGACAAGAAGGAGCAGGAGGAGGTGCTGGATACGGGCCACGACAAGATGCCTGAGCCGCAAATAACCACCATTCTCGCCTAGGCGATCCGAACTTATCTTGCGGTGGAGCGGCGCGGAGGGCGGGCACCGAAGAAAAAGTGAAAACGGTGGGAGGCGGAGCCGCGCGGAATCCGACGTTGCACAGCGCAGAATGTTTTTTTTTTTTTGTTGATCTTTTTTTTTCAGGCTGGAGGAAGTGGAGGGGTGGCGGGCGCATTGGCGCCTTCCTCTGCGTCCTTCGCTCTTTCCCCTCGATGTGTGCGAAACGCATCGTTCATGTTTTTTTATTATTTTGCGGCCCGCTCTGCGTTGTTGCTCTGTACCGCGTGGGCGCCGCAGAATTCGCGCCGGACGTGGCGGCGAGCTGCATGCGTGGCGTGTCCGGCCAACCTGCCGGGGCGCCAAGCGCCACACGGCGTCGAGGCGCGCTTGACGCGGGCCAACGCAGAGGCCTTGCGCAGAGGAAGTGTCACCGGCAGTGAGAGGGATGCACGTGGCGGGCCCATGCGCCTGCCGCCCGCTCCCGCGTGTATTATTTGGTGCGTGTTTATGCAGGGGCCGAATTCCTCCAAGGAAGACCGACGAGCGAAACACGCACACAGACAGGCACCGGAAGGACCAAAAAGAAAAGAGGAGAGAAAGTGAGAGGTCCTTCTGTCTCACTTTTGGTGGGTGCATATTTGTGCGGGAGCTGAAGGACGAGGGTGCGAGAGGAAGTCGGGGAGGAGGGGGGGGGTGCAGCATCCCCGTCACTCGGGCCGTGTATAATGTCTAGCTGTACGCGTACGTGGCCCCAGCGCCCACGAAGACGACGACAAAGAAGCATCATATATGTTTTGTGTGCAAGCGTTTGTGGATGCCGTTGCCTCTGGGGCCCCAGCACCCACTTTCCCCCTTTTTTTTCTTGTTTCTTTGGCTTGATTATTGTAGCAAACCCCCACAACGCCTGCCGTGCACTTCATCACTGCGGAACTCGTCCGCACCCACACACTCTTCTTACTGTTGCACCCCCTCCATTCCCTTTCCTCTTTTCTTTTCTTACCGCCTCTGATTTGTTAGCTACGGCACCGCACTGAAGTTCTGCAATTCGTATGGGCTGCACCTCGCACCGGTGGCAGTCCTCAGCTGCAGAAATGAAGAGCTGATTGTGTGTGGCAACGACAAGCAGTTGGGAGGGAATGGCCAACGTATGGAGGTGACCAGGAGGAGGTGTGGTGTGTGCCACGATGAGCTCAGCTGGTGCTGGGTGCGGGCTTCAAACCCGTAGGCGAGTTGTACTCGCAGCCGTTCGATTCGGCCTTTGTGGTGTTCCCGGTGAAGGGCTGCGGCCTTGCTCCGCAGGTGTGCGTGTGCGTGTGTGTGTGTGTGGCTGTGGCTGTGGCTCTGGGATGCGTGCGGTCTGTGGTCTTGCTGTCGTCGCACTGCTCTATTGTTTGTTTGTGTTTTTTTTTTGCCTTTGTGGGAGACTTCTGCTGCCTTCCCCTCCCTTTTGTTCTGGGCGGCGCGGTGCAGCAAAGCAGGGGGAGGGAACCGGAAGGCTGCGGCGGGGCGCCTGCTCAGATGCTGTTGGGTGCCTCGGATCATTCCCGCGGCGCGACGCTGCCTTGGTGTGCCGCACTTGTTGACAGGGTTGCAGAGTTTAGGTGGGGCGCTGCTGTCCCACTTGAGGCTCTCGGCGCGGCGCGGGGGCCGCCTGGCGTGCCTGTGGACTGCCCGCTGCTGCGGCTAACGCTGGACGCTGCCCGGGAGATGTGTTCAGCTGCTGCTTGCGGTACGCAGCCCTCCGGTGGTCGTCGCTGACTGACAGCCG